CCACTTGTTCGCACTGTGGATCCACGAAGTGTTCCTCCTCCCTAACCACTCGCGACGGTCTTTAAACCGGTACCGGTTCTCCTCACCGTGCACCGACATACCGGTTTAATCCAGATTCAGTTCTGCCATGGTGGAACGACGAGGAGGAAGAAGTCGAAGAAGATCATTGCTCTCATTTCAAGTCGCTCTCCTCTTCTTCTGTTTCTCCGTCGCGTTTCCTCGAGCTCTTCCAGATTCGGATCTGTTGGAAGAAACCGCCGGTAACTCCTCCTCCGCCGCATATCTCAACGCTTCGTCTCTTGCTAAGCCAAAGGAAGGTAGCTTCGCCGACATTATCGATCGTGCTCTCGAAAAAGAGTTCAACGAAAGCGATCAGAATGAAGGTAGTGTGTGTGATGTATTGAATTTGGCTAATGGAAACTTGAATTATATGTACAAGAGCTTCTCGACTGATGTTTGATTGATTTCATCGAGTTTATGAGTTAGATCCTGAATTTGATTCCGAACTTAAGAGATTGATTACGATCCAACAATATAAGGATACCGACATTCGTCTTTCCTTTTTGATTTTCCTTGATCTCCCAATGTGGAATACTAGTATGCTTCTTCTGGATCGAGAATTACATAACGAGATTTATTTCCTGAAATGGATAGTGCGTGTATACCTTGTCTTCTTGGGATTTCTATTTGTTCATGTCTTATTTTGTTGGCAGTGGCTGATCCTGGAAGCTTCAACAACAGTGTAGCTGGACAACAGGTTGGTATAATCAGTAGCTGATGTATCATTTCCTCATTAATGTTTGTATATTTGGAAGAAAAAAAAATGAAGTATGTACTGCCTTATTTTTATGTCTAGTTGGACACTTTGAGTACTTCTTTGTAGGAAATTCAACAAGTTTCGGAAAACGATCCCATGTCTTATGTTTGGAATTTCAGCAATGGCTTGCTTTAGTTTTGATTGTTTCCCTCTTTGGTTGTATAATTTGAGTATCTGAATGTGAGGTTGGTTGTTGTACCTTTGTGGTGATCAGGCTGTTCTGGAAACTGTAGCCAGAGTAAAGACAACAAAGAAAAATGAGACGAAAGAGGACAAGTACATAAAATTCAATTCTTCTTAGATTTCTGTTCTAGAACTTCCTTATGCAGTATGGCCTTCTTTAATGTTCTACAATTGATTAAGCGTTATCTAATTTCCGTTTTTAGGCGATTTCAACTCCATGATGTTTTCAACTTGGACAATGATAACAGAGCTGAGGACACTCCGACTCTGATTGATCGAAAAGTAAGTTCCCTCACAGGAAGACAGAGTCTGGATATGTTGTGTTTTTGTTCTTACATGGCAATTTTGCTGTTGTGTCAGGATAATGTCTTCATCATATCCAATTTCAAATCGAAGTATCCAGTATTGCAGCTAGACTTGAGGCAAGATTCTTGGTTTATAGTAACTTTATTTCAACATGATTCTTTGAAAAACACTCTGAAATTCTGAATTAGTCCTCTGATGTGTGCTTCTTATGGCATGTAGACTGATATCAGACCTGGTGGTTGTCATTGTATCTGCAACTTGTGGTGGTATCGCCTTTGCTTGTGCTGGACAACCGGTCTGCTTTTTGTTCTACTCCTAGTCTCTGTCATTATAAATTTAGGCTTCAGTATGATGTCTCAGTCTTCTGATCTTTGCGATCATTTTGTGCTTATGCAGGTGATAACTGGATATTTGCTTGCAGGATCTATCATCGGGCCTGGAGGATTGAACTTCATCAGTGAGATGGTCCAGGTATGTGTGTTTGACCCCAAAAGATTTGTGTGTTTTGTTCAGTCCCAAGAACTTTTGGTGACAGATTCCTTTTAAGGTCTCCAATAACATTGATGCTGTGTTTAGTTAGGTCAGCATTAGTTAAGGAAGCTCTTTGTTTTCCTTAGGTAATAGGCTGTCCTTGCATACAGTTAGACGATAGATATTACACACAACAACTCAGCAAGACAGGGAGTTCTGATTTTTCTTTGACTAGAAACTCTTTTCTCCCTAGGGCCGAAAGAAATTGAATTTTATCATGTGATGATGTATGGATAAGAGAGATAGTTTGTATTTGAATACGAAAGAGCAGTAGCCTGCTGCGGAGATGAGAATATAGATTTATCTATATATACACACATGTATGTGGTTTATGCGCTTTCATTTTGACATGTTTATTTATGTAGGTTGAAACAGTCGCCCAGTTTGGTGTGGTATTTCTGCTCTTCGCACTGGGTCTAGAATTCTCCACTGCCAAGGTGAGGTCAACATCTTTTAACTGCAATGTTCCATGCTAACATAACAAACTCTTGACCATCTCTTCTCTTACTGTGTAGCTTCGAGTTGTTCGATCAGTTGCTGTTCTGGGAGGCCTTCTTCAAATTCTTCTTTTCATGTTCTTGTGCGGAATCACAGTGTCGGTGCGACATTTGTTTATCAGTGGTTCTGGAAATTATTCTCTGCTTTCTTTTTTACTCGTGGACAAATTGATAGGCTGTCTCGTTTATTTTATAAGCAACGTTTAATTATATGGCTTAAAGAGTATCTCTGACCCAAAAAAAGTGTTGTGTCTGAGAAATTCAGACACTTGTATTAGAAGTAGACACCCTAAATCTTCTGCGGCTATACTCACTGTAACATGCTTCAACTGGTCATGTTTGCAGTTATGTGGTGGTAAACATTCAGAGGGGGTATTTGTAGGAGCATTTTTGTCAATGTCATCAACTGCGGTGGTAATTTCAGTGAACTCAATTATTCTGATCTAGCCAATTCCTCTAGCCGGCTTTATTTTTTCTGTTG